AAATGGCAGTCATCAGGAACAGTGGACGTTAAAGCAAGATCTGGAAGACCAAGAAAAATATCAGACAGAACAGCTCGCAGGATTGAGAAAAACAATTCAAATCCCATGTTTGACTGCACGATCCCTCAAGAAAGATCTGGCAGACACTGGAGTTGTGGTACACTATTCCACTATAAAGAGATACTTGTACAAATATGGTCTTCATGGAAGAGTCATCAGAAGAAAACCTCTTCTACGTCCTCACCACAAAAATCATCGTTTGAACTTTGCAAATGAACATATAGACAAGCTTGATGCATTTTGGAAACAAGTTCTGTGGACCGATGAGGTTAAAATTGAACTTTTTGGCCGGAATGAGCAAAGGTACGTTTGGAGAAGAAGGGGCACAGAATTTAATGAAAAGAACCTCTGTCCAACTGTTAAGCATGGGGTTGGATCAATCATGCTTTGGGGTTGTGTTGCAGCCAGTGGCACAGGGAACATCTCACGAGTAGAAGGAAAAATGAATTCAATAAAATTTCATCAAATTTTGGATGGTAACTTGATGCCATCTGTGAAAAAGCTGAAGTTAAAGAGAGGATGGCTTCTACAAATGGATAATGATCCTAAACACACCTCGAAATCCACGGGGATTACATCAAGAGGCGTAAACTGAAGGTTTTGCCATGGCCTTCACAATCTCCTGACCTCAACATAATTGAAAATCTATGGATAGACCTTAGAAGAGCAGTGCGTGACAGACAGCCCAGAAATCTCAGAGAACTGGAAGACTTTTGTAAGGAAGAATGGGCAAAGATACCTCAAACAAGAGCTGAAAGACTCTTGGCTGGCTACAAAAAGCGTTTACAAGCTGTGATACTTGCCAAAGGGGGCAGTACAAGATATTAACTCTGCAGGGTGCCCAAACTTTTGTAGACGCCATTTTTTTGTTTTCTGTTATTTTGAAAGTGTAAATGATGGAAATAAAATCTAACTTTTGTTGACATATTATAAGAATGTCTAATCTGTAATTTGATGCTTTTGGAGATTTTTCCATCTTTCCTTGGCTTCTTTATGCACATTAATACAAATTTTTAGCTGGGGTGTCCAAACTTTCGATCCCCACTGTATACTCAGGAGCCACGACCTGGTCTCAAGGTACTCCAAGTCCATCCCCACCATCAGGGGCTCTGGTGAACAAGTACTCTGGGGCTTAGATTCCGTGCTCTGGGGACGCCTAATCAGTGGAGTGCTAGTGGTACCGCCAGGCGGTCCCTTACAGCCGTTCTTACGACTGTGGTCAAATTGCCATCCTTACAGACACAGTACAATTATCATTCACGCTATGACGTTATGAATTGTGGGCAGAATCCCTGGGATTCTGCATGTGATTTCAAAACGTTCTCCTAAAATGAAAAATCGCGTAACCACGTTTGGGTGCCATTCATTTTAATGGCAACTGAAAACATGGTGCAGTTCTGCCACAATTGGCAGGCGATAAATCTCGGCAAACCACATCATGACGCCCAAAAGAAATTCCTGTCATTTTTGCAGAGCATTGAAATCGTTGGCAGAATCGTGCCTTTTCTGCCCATGACTGAAAACTCCACAGTGTAAATGGGGCATCAGGGTTTCTCATGTGCTGCACCTCTTCCTAATTCCATTCAACCAGGGGCGGACTGACCATTTGAGCACTCGGGCACTGCCCGAGGGCCCAGGGTCAGTAGGGGGCCCCATGAAATGCCCCTGGCACCTATTTTATAGGCTTTTGTGGGTGTGCTTTGATTGTGGGCAAGGACACAGGGGCCCCATGATCCCCTATTGCCCGGGGTCCCCATGAGTTGTCAGTCCGCCCCTGCATTCAACATTTATTATACATCTAGATCAGCCTTTCTCAACCAATTTACCCTAGAGGAACCTTTGAAATAATCTTCAGGTCTCAAGGAACCGTTCCTAAAACAAATTCATTGTTAGGCAGTAGCAAAAATGGCCCTTACATTGGATGGTTAGTGGGAAGAATGCCCTTGCACTGGTAGTCAGTGGGAAGAATGCCGTTCTTACGACTGTGGTCAAATTGCCATCCTTACAGACAGCTACAATTATCATTTGGTTCATGCAGATGGCTCTGCCCAGTGCGTTGGCCCTGGAACTGTGCAGACACCATCACATGGGAGGTCAATAAACCGCAGCTCAGCTGGTTGATGCTCTAAACCTTAGCTTCACAGGTTGGCCTGTGCATTAAGACAGCCCTGCTTATCCCAAAGTTTCAACACAGACCGACCCGGGGTAGCATGAAAACAGGGCAGTGAGGGACAGTGGGGAAAATAACAAAGGTGGTGGGCTATCAGGAGAACCTGTTGAATTGAAGCAAGGGTGCTGATCACATATCTTGATGTACAAATGACTGCTAAAGGAAGCATTTATGGATTTGTATCTGAAAAGCAATCACCAAAATATAAATATCCCATCAAAATCACTTTCAGGTAAAAGGTGCAAAAATAATGTTAACCAAAATCTATTTACTGTGTTTTTTCTATAGGCAGCAAGATAACGCGGCAATTTATTCAGCCACAGTACAGCTATAAAGCCCTAGAGCTCAACCTATGTTGTCTTCAAGTCTGGGATTGACATCACAGGCTGGTATTTGTCACCATTAGGCTCCTACATTGTCTAAGCTACTCCCTGTGCAAAGTCGTGTTGGAGGAGCAGTAAACCCAAAGATAAGCGTAACCTGGGGCTTTAATAACAGTAAAAAAGCCTTGAAATGTGTACAAGGAATACAATCTACCCTCTCCATACTCAGCATTTCATCCAGACATTGCATGCCTGGACCATCCACCCTATTCTGTTCTGTCAGTTATCTGGGAACCCCACTTTGTTATGAAGGAAAATAATTCCAAGACACAAATGTAAGAGTGACTTTGTGGTTGGCTGAATATGGTACCAAAGCACAAGTCCCTACCCGGGGCGGACTGACCATTTGGAAACTTGGGCACTGCCCGAGGGCCCGGGGTCAGTAGGGGGCCCCATGAGATGCCCCTGGTAGCTTTTTCATAGGCTTTTTTGAGTTTGGGCAAGGACACAGGGGCCCCATGATCCCATATTGCCCAGGGGCCCCAAGAGTTGTCAGTCCGCCCCTGGTCCCTACCCCCACTCCAGCCCTGCTAGACCACTGTTCTTCCTACTGAGGTTGAACCCTCTGCCATGTTGTACCTTGCTCCTTGCCACAGGCCTCCTCATGACATTCCTGGCCATAGACTTTTGTATCCCCAAAGAAAGGAATGTCAACATAAGAAGTTGTTTTGCTGCACTTTAATGATGGTATTCTGTGGATTGGGGAGCATAATGGATCGGACTTCGATTCATTATGCTCAATCTGATCCATATTGCAGGGACCGTCAGCTTGCTTTAAAACTTTCATTTTCGTGGAGCTCATGGAGAGGGTCTGGTGTCACCCCATGCAATTGGTGTCATCCGGTGCGGCGTGCACCCCCCGTACCTGCCTAGGGACTCCACTGACAGGGGGGGCTCTATCTAAAAGGAGCATAACACCTAATGACATTATCTGCTGTAACCAGACACTGATCTGGTACAGAGCCACCTAGTGGCAAAGTGGAATGGGTATTTGGCGTACTCAAAGAAAGGCTGAGAGTGGTATGTGCGGCAAGGACTGAAGATGGAAACCAAGAGTGGACATAAGACAAAATGTGTGTATATATATATATATATATATATATATGTTAAAAAACATAATATAAATATAAAGTCTTTGTATTGGATAGTCCTTATTAGAGTCCTGATGTGCCGCTGAATTAGGAGCCAGCCAGTAACGAGCTAGAGAGAGCCCTGTGTGAGAACAGGAAAGAAAGAAGTGGTGCCCTCTAAGTGCAGCATAAAAACTCTTTAATATAGTTAAAAATGAGTAATACAGGCCACTCACAGAAGTATGGAGGAATGCGTTATAATCTGTAGTATAGGTGGATCCCTTTGAGAACGTGCGTGCGCACGAAACTTGTCAGGGAGGAGCCTACATGCTGACGTCATGCTGTCGTGTCCTCGTGATGGTCCAGCTGCCATCTTTGTAAGTGCTTTTTATCCATTGATGATTTTATGCTCCACGTGGTTGCTATCTTTTTAATATAACATACTACACTATATGATACTGTCTCCGGGCTCGGTCTATGAGCTTGCTCTCTAGGAGGAATCCTTGGTTCATCGTGGGCTGGAGAAGACTTGGCTACTCTACTTTTGATTGTTCATTTGGTGGATCACTGGCTTCTGGAGAGATCCCATCTTCAACCGGGTCACCGGCAGGAGGAACAAGCAGGAACACCCCTTAGTATCATTCCGCTCCGGGCTTGCTTGCTACTTACTTCTGGTGAGTACATTACGGTGGAGGTGCAGTGCGGGAAATTAAAAAATGTGAAAAAGTGACATTCACTAAATACACTAAAATCACATAGTATAACATTGCTGTATCAAACCATTTCACATACATTTTGTCCCGAGTGCTTTGTCCGGCGCCCTGCCTGCATTGTTACTGTTCTTTCTGCCTGGAAACTGAGAAACGTCCATGGCGTCCAAAAAGCGTCCCTTTAGGTCAGACGCAGTTTTAGACCGGCTAGAGAACAGCGATAGTAAATCAGAACCACTTGCAGAATTGAGTGACAATGATTTGTGGGGGAAATTCCTCATCAGACACTGAAAACGATTCTGCGACTGAGCTCAGCGATGTGCGAACTTGGCGCTCTATTTCACATTTCAGTGTTTTTGGTTTGATTATATTATTGAATTAAATTTATTATTATTATATTATTTTTTATGATTATTTGTTAAATAATAATTTGATTTCGTGTTTTAAATTTTATCATCCCCGGGATATTTACTAGACTCTTGTTCGGACAGATTTCAGTGAGTTATTCCTAAAAATTACAGGCCTACAATAAAAAAAATACATATTTCCATGCAAAAAAATTAACCAATTTGAGCACAGAAATATGGACATAATCAGACCGCTAAGGAGCCTACTTTTTTTTTTCCTTTTTTTTTGTTTTTTTCTTTACTCTACATCAGGGGTGGGGCAACTGTGGCCCTCCAGCTGTTGTAGAACTACAAGTCCCATGAGGCATTGCAAAACTGACAGTTACAAGCATGACTCCCAAAGGCAGAGGCATGATGGGACCAGGGGCGGACTGACCATTTGGAAACTCGGGCCCTGCCCGAGGGCCCGGGGTCAGTAGGGGGCACCATGAGATGCCCCTGGTACCTTTTTCAAAGGTTTTTTTGAGGTTGGGCGACTTGCGATACATAAAGTCACATGACGATTGAAAACCCATTCAGGCTCCGTTCACACCAGTGCTGGTTTTAGTGCTTTTTGCAGAATCGCACTACAGTCCATTTAACATGGTTTCCTATGGGACACGGTCACATTGATGCCTTTTTGATCTGCTGCGTTTTTGGAAAGGGTCAGGGACTTTTTTTAAAAGCAAAAAACAGCATTTTTACTACAATAGAGTTCAAGGGAGAAGCTGCTGAAATGCATGGTGGTGCGTTTTAGCCGCATTTTGCATTTTTATTCTGCCCAGCAACAAAAAAATTCCACTTTGCAAAAAAAAAAAAAAGAAGCTGAACAAAATGCAAAACGCAGTAAAAAATGTGTCAAAAACACATCAAAACACGTGTAGAAAAACACAAAATAAACTGTAAAAAGCACTGGAGAAAGCATCAAACGCAAAACGAGGTGCGATGTGCAGAATCGGATCACATAGGTCCAGGGGCGGACTGACCTTTTGGAAACTTGGGCACAGCCTGAGGGCCCGGGGTCAGTAGGGGGCCCCATGAGATGCCCCTGGTACCTTTTTCATAGGCTTTTTTGAGTTTGGGCAAGGACACAGGGACCCCATGATCCACTATTGCCTGGGGGGCCCCATGAGTTGTCAGTCCGCCCCTGGATGGGACTTGTAGTTTACCAACAGCTGGAGCGCCACAGTTGCCCACCCCTGCTCTACATGATTGTACCCTTTGAAATGAATACTACAGCTGTGCCTTGTTTCTGTTGTCTATTCTATTTGAAGCTGTAATGCTATTTTGCATTCTATTTCTTAAAAAAAAAAAAAAGAAATAGACCCGCCCATAGCACATGTCAGGAGCTGTGTGAAATCTGATGTGATGGATTACTGGAATCGAGGCGCGACCTGACTTTAGCACAGTCCCCGTGCTTGCTTGAGAGCATTATCAGGTCACTAACTGGTTTCCCCGGCTGTCAAGTATTGCTCTTTACGGTTTGCAGAATAAAATGGTCTTTTCTGCCGCCTTATCCGCGGCGAAAAACTATTATCAGTGGAGTGTCGACCTTTCCTCAGCCAGTGTCTGGAGTGGCCACTTCCAATTAAGGTGAAAAAAATTCAGCAGAGCGCTGGAAGTCTTTAAATAAAACATCTCATTTGCAAAGCCATCCGAGCCTCCGATGAAGGAGAGCCGGCGAGAAGGACGGAGGCGTGATAGCGATAGTGAAGAGAGATAGAGGCGTCCTCGCAGCCGGGATGAGAAGGAAGATGTAGATTGAATTCTCCCCCGGGGGCTCCATCTTATTTCCAAGAGCGAACGTAGCGCCGTGCCGCTGTGATGGAGGCCGCGGCGCGGCATGGACCTCTCCCTGACAGGATTAATAACAGACAGGGATTGATGTATGGAACAGAGAGAGAGAGAGCGAGAGAGAGAGAGAGCGCCATGATTCCACCTTTCACCGCGCCTCTCTCTCCTTCTAATGAGGCGCTCCGTGAAAATTGCTTTTTCCCCATTTCCACAGACAGACCTGGAAATAGACGTATGAATATATTCATAGCTGATGTCCTAACATCCGTGTCAAGCTTTGTAATGCAGCCGGCGGAGTTGTTATGTTGTTACAAGTGGAAAATGATGACACTTTTAATGGAGAGATGTCCTTGTCGAGGGAGATTCAGCCACACAGCCGCAGATGAGGCAATCCTCCGCCAAGTATTTCTTCATAGAAAACCAAGTTATCTGTTACCTGTTGCCTGCTTCCCTCCATTTTGGAAGTTCAGGCTCATTTCATCAATCCTTAAGGTTAGGTTCACTCTTTACGTCTGGAGGAAAAGAAATGGAATCTACAAACATGGAAAGGTGTCTTCACAGTGAGAGCTGTGAAAATGTGGAATAGACTCCCTCAAGAGTTGGTTCTGGCCGGCTCAGTGGATTGCTTTAAAAAAGTCCTGTATTCTTTCCTGGATACACAGAATATAACTGGATATAACATTTGTAGGACGCAGTGCATTGTGGGGTGCAGTGGGCGAAAAGCCAAATAAAGGTCCATGTGTTCACAAACTTATATTTGACTTGAACATGAAGCCCAACCATAATAGCTTTATTGAGACTGGAAATATTGTAGCAAATCCCGGAATCTGTACAACTTCCATCCTTCTTCAACATGTATAATACATAAGGGGGGTTTATGATCGCCATGTATAGTATAATACATAAGGGGGGGATATGATCTCCATGTATAATACATAAGGGGGGGACGTGATCTCCATGTATAATACATAAGGGGGGATATGATCTCCATGTATATAATACATAAGGGGGGATATGATCTCCATGTATAATACATAAGGGGGGGATATGATCTCCATGTATAATACATAAGGGGGGATATGATCTCCATGTATAATACATAAGGGGGATATGATCTCCATGTATAATACATAAGGGGAGATATGATCTCCATGTATGATACATAAGGGGGGATATGATCGCCATGTATAATACATAAGGGGGATATGATCTCCATGTATAATACATAAGGGGGATATGATCACCATGTATAATACATAAGGGGGGGGGATATGATCACCATGTATAATACATAAGGGGAGATATGATCTCCATGTATGATACATAAGGGGGGATATGATCGCCATGTATAATACATAAGGGGGATATGATCTCCATGTATAATACATAAGGGGGATATGATCACCATGTATAATACATAAGGGGGGGGATATGATCACCATGTATAATACATAAGGGGGGATATGATCTCCATGTATAATACATAAGGGGGATATGATCTCCATGTATAATACATAAGGGGGATATGATCTCCATGTATAATACATAAGGGGGATATGATCTCCATGTATAACACATAAGGGGGATATGATCTCCATGTATAATACATAAGGGGGGATATGATCTCCATGTATAATACATAAGGGGGATATGATCCATGTATAATACATAAGGGGGGGTATGATCTCCATGTATAATACATAAGGGGGGGAAAAATGATCTCCATGTATAGTACATAAGGGGGATATGATCTCCATGTATAATACATGGAGGGGGATATGATCTCCATGTATAATACATAAGGGGGATATGATCTCCATGTATAATACATAAGGGGGGATATGATCTCCATGTATAATACATAAGGGGGGATATGATCTCCAGGTATAATACATAAGGGGGGATATGATCTCCAGGTATAATACATAAGGGGGGATATGATCTCCATGTATAATACATAAGGGGGATATGATCTCCATGTATAATACATAGGGGGGATATGATCTCCATGTATAATACATAAGGGGGATATGATCTCCAGGTATAATACATAAGGGGGGATATGATCTCCAGGTATAATACATAAGGGGGGATATGATCTCCATGTATAATACATAAGGGGGATATGATCTCCATGTATAATACATAAGGGGGGATATGATCTCCATGTATAATACATAAGGGGGATATGATCTCCATGTATAATACATAAGGGAGGGATATGATCTCCATGTATAATACATAAGGGGGATATGATCACCATATATAATACATAAAGGGGATATGATCTCCAGGTATAATACACAAGGGGGGATATGATCTCCATGTATAATACATAAGGGGGATATGATCTCCATGTATAATACATAAGGGGGATATGATCTCCATGTATAATACATAAGGGGGATATGATCTCCATGTATAATACATAAGGGGGATATGATCTCCATTTATAATACATAAGGGGGGATATGATCTCTGTGTATAATACATAAGGGGGATATGATCTCCATGTATAATACATAAGGGGGGATATGATCTCCATGTATAATACATAAGGGGGGATATGATCTCCATGTATAAATACATAAGGGGGGATATGATCACCATGTATAATACATAAGGGGGGGATGTGATCTCCATGTATAATACATAAGGGGGGATATGATCTCCATGTATAATACATAAGGGGGGATATGATCTCCATGTATAATACATAAGGGGGGGGATGTGATCTCCATGTATAATACATAAGGGGGGATATGATCTCCATGTATAATACATAAGGGGGATATGATCTCCATGTATAATACATAAGGGGGGATATGATCACCATGTATAATACATAAGGGGGGGATATGATCTCCATGTATTATACATAAGGGGGGATATGATCTCCATGTATAATACATAAGGGGGGATATGATCACCATGTATAATACATAAGGGGGGATATTATCTCCATGTATAATACATAAGGGGGGATATGATCTCCATGTATAATACATAAGGGGGGATATGATCTCCATGTATAATTCATAAGGGGGGATATGATCTCCATGTATAATACATCAGTGGTTCATATAGTGAACTCGGTGTAGCGTTATTCCCCCTGAGGTCATCACAGAGGACAAGGGGGCGCTCTTTACGTCTGGAGGAAAAGAAATTTAATCTCCAAACATGGAAAGGTTTCTTCACAGTAAGAGCTGTGAGAATGTGGAATAGACTCCCTCCAGAGTTGGTTGTGGCCAGCTCAGTGGATTGCTTTAAAAAAGTCCTGGATTCTTTTTTGGATACACAGAATATAACTGGATATAACATTTATAGGGAAAGTTGATCCAGGGAATATCCGATTGCCTCTCGGGGGATCAGGAAGGAATTTTTATCCCTGCAGGAGCAAATTGGATCATGCTTTGCTGTTTTTTTTTTTTTTGCCTTCCTCTGGATCAACTGTGGGTGTAGGATTATAACTTTTTTTTTTTTTTAATGGTTGAACTGGATGGACTTTTGTTTTTTTTTCAGCCAGAATAACTATGTAACTATGTGTGTTGGGAAGGTAACATGTATAGAACCCGTTGCCTGTTAGCAGATGCGGTGGTGCATAGGGATTACCAAACTAGCAGCTCCCGCGGGGGGTGCGCTACAACAGATGTATGAATATATTCATAGCTGATGTCCTAACATCCGTGCCAAG